GTCTTCAAAGTGCCTCCTGGTCCAGCCTCCAAAGAGCTGGGGCAGGCTGTCCCCGCCGAGCCCCTCAAACTGCACATCCGGGAGCACAAGCAATGATTTCATTGTTTTTAACCACAGGTTTTGTGAAGGGTTGTTACAAATGAATCAATAACCAGAATGCAAAGAATCCAGATATCTAGGTATCGCAACCCATTTATTATGAAACTATCCTCTATGTATAAGTATTTCCCCCATGTTTTCAGGGTCTCCCGTAACGTCTAACAATCCTGCAGTAAACATCACACAGTAAATAGTCCTGCAGGACCTGTTGGCTACATGTGATGGTTTTACCATGCTGTTGGTTTTTCTTCAAGTGTCACATGGTCGGCGCTGCCTGGTGCATGATTTATAAAAAGCACAGAATACCTGGGTGTTTCTAAACTTCCAGCCTGGCCATGCCGCTCCATCAACCCTCCTGTTCTATTTTTCTGGTGCTTTTCACTAGTGAGTGACAGATGCTCACTCCGCTCCCACACATTTTAAAAAAACAACAACAACTTCGTTTGATTTTTAACAAAGTCAACAGGATGAGTCATGACATTCTTTGAAATAAACTCTCTTCTGAGAAGTCTTTGAACTGTCATCGTGTTGCATCCAGCCTCATACATGTTTTAGGAAAACTAGTCAGTTCAGGCTGCAAAAGCTGAAGGCGCTGAGCTCCCAAATCTGGATCCTTGGCTATTTTTTCTAAAATGTGTTTGAACCACACCACCCCACATCGCACCGGTTCCTTCCTGCTCCCCACGAGTGCTCCGGTGAGTTGTTTCCATTTCTCTTCCCCATGAAGGTGATTTAAAACACAAGGCTGGCTGTGCTGTGTGGGCAATTAACTTCAACAGAAATCGTTCGCTGTCTTCACGCGTGGCAAATCAGATCTGAAGAACACCACTGTGCTAACTTCTTTTAAGTGCCAGCAGAATAAAAGGTGAGAATTCCCACGGAAACCACGCGATTCCTATCGATTTGGCATTTGAAACGTGGAAATCTACCTACAGGCTGCTTCTCAGCGGAGAAGGTCAAAGTCACCCAGACAGCTTTAAAAAGTTGTTTTGCGGCGCCACCTAGTGGCGAAAGGCCCGAACTGCTCGTCTTATCGTTCCGCCGCGTCAAGAGGTGGGAAGGGCGGGGGGGTGGGGAAGGGGGAGGCGGAGAGGTGGGAGGGTTAGTTTCCTGCCTTCTCGGCAGGAGACGAGCTGATACGCGGAATGTACAACCTTAGGGCCCATCTCGGATTCTTCCCCGATGTACTCGCGACTTTGCAGGTGTAGCGCAAAGTGTCATGGCCCGATGGACAGAATTGGAAATACCTAGTGAGATCAGCAACCATGTCCCTGTGGCTGGTGTTCTAGGAAACCATGCCAAAATCACCCTGGCCAAAAATCAATCAATCAGTCAATCAATCACTCACTCAATCAATCAATCAATCAATCATGCCCTGGCCGGTTTGGCTCAGCAGTTAGAACGTCAGCCCCAGACCCAAGGGTTGCAGGTTCAATTCCAGACAAGGGCATGTACCTGGGTTGCAGATTGGATCCCCAGCCCCGGTAGGGGTCATTCAGGAGGCAACCCTCTGATGTGTCTCTCTCACATTAATGTTTCTCTCTCTTCTCCTCCTCCCTCCCTTCCACTCTCTCTAAAAATCAATGTAAAAATATCCTCGGGTGTGGATTAACAAGAAATGAGGTACAAGTGACCCTTGAAGAACTCAAAGTTTGGGGCACTGACCCTTGCACAGCTAAAGGCCTGCCTAGAACATCTGCCTCACTGAAGCTGTACCGATTCACACACATTCTGTATGTCACATGCATTATATACTGTATTCTTACAATAAAGTCAGCTAGGGACAAGGAAATGTTACTAAGAGAATCATGAGGAGGAGAAAATACATTTACAGTGCTGTATATACTTGTCAGTGCAGTAAGTTTACACCACCTGTTTACAAGATGAGTCATCTGTCAATACCCACAGTGTCTTACATGGTACAAACTACTGTAGATGTGACAGCATTATCAACGCTGGGCACCCCAGGTGAGAAGACATTCGTATGTACTTACAGGTATGACGGTTCGTGCACAGCGACATAACCGCTTTGCAGTAGACAGCCGCGTGCCATCGATACAATTGCTTCAAGGTAGGAAGGAAATCTCCAAAAAATTTTCCGAGATAGTTATGGGGGAAATCTACGCAGTTCAAACCCATGTTGTTCAAGGGTCATGCGTGGACACGCTACACATGGTAGGAGTATGTTACAGTGAAAGATTCAGGACGACTCAGACGTCATCACGGGGGCCCGATGACGTGAACTCTCAGACACCACACACGGAATTCCAGCCCGAACGCCCCGGGCTCTGTGGCTGCAGCAAACCACACTGAGACCCCAGTCGGCCTGGCTGCTTGGTGGGGCAGAGAGAGACATGGGGAGGCCTGAGCTGACGGTCAAGGAGTTTCCTGCTCATATCTCATTCCTCAAAGCCAGCTTTCTGTGCCCGCCACGGTGATCCTGACGTCCGTGTCCAGCATGTGACCCAAGCATGTCCCTGCCATGTGCTGGGCGTGTGCCTGGTGTTGCTTGCTTGGCTGTTTGCCTATCAGTGTAGGCTTGGTTCCGTGTGCCTGGCCTGTGTGCCTAGCATGTGTTTCTGAGGGTGGCATGTGCCCTGGTTGAAGGGTGTCCACCCGTCATGAGTTCACCGGGCCTGTGGAAGCTACTGCATGTCCAGCTCTGCAGGCCCAGCCCCTGGGGACAGCACTGAAACCTAGCTCCAAGGCCAGGGCGAGGCTGAGACCACTGGTATCCTAACGGCACAGGGCATGCGCTGTGGCATCCTTACTGCCTTGAATTGTGCCCAGTGCCCAGGTGTCATGGCCTGACCGAATGAGCCCAGCTCCTGATGCAGCCACCAGGTGGCGAGCTCTCTCTGTCCAGGGAAACCATCCTGTCACCCTTCTCAGTAGCTGGACAAGGGACTGTTGCCTGGTGCGAGACGGCTCCCTGGGATGGACCCCTTCAAGTGCAGGTGGGTGTGAACATGTACAGAGATGAGTCAGGAATGCGGACTTCCACACAAACGGAAGGGGCGGGCTTCCTGAAAAGCTCAGAGTGTTACAATGTAGAGGAAAGCACAAACCAATGGAATAAAAGCACTTAGAACACTCTGTCTTGTGTTTTCAGACATCAGAGAGCAAAGCATCTGACTGTTGGATGCTTTCATCCGAGGTTTTAAATCAGACCTTTTCTTGTTTCCTTCCGACAGTGGGACGGGCCTGAGTCTTCCCGCCCCTGTCCCCCCCTCATGAGGAGGGTCAAGGGGGGAAAGGGCTCAGGAAGCTGCAATGTCTAGGATTCTTTCACCGAAAGACCCCTCTGGAATTTTCCAGGAGGGCCGCAGCTGGGTTTTATTTGCCTTCTCTGACTCCCTTTCTGCTAGCAGCTTCATTCTTACATCGTGGGCCAACTCTGTGTGTACCCAGACTGCCACAGAGGGTGTGCAACTCAGCAGCCAGATGAAGCCAAGAGCGTGCCTGTCTGCTCACCCGTCAGCATGGCCCGGGGTGCCCCTTCTCCTGGCTGAACACCTCCTTCCAGGCAAGCCCGGGTCAGCTGTCAGCTCTTCTGTGAACCTTCTCCCTGTCTGGATCCTTCCTTCCTTCCTTCCGGATCCTTTCGGTTGCCAAGGCCTATCATGAGTATTTGTTCATGCATGCATCTGTTAACAGGTGTGGATTTGCTATAAGACATTTCCTGCCACATTCCTGATTTTTCCCAAATCAAATAACTGGTTCAGCCACCCGTTCTTGGGGTGGGGTGTGGGGGGGGGGCGGCGATTCAAGGGCAGTCACGTCTTGGTGGGATTTTCCCTAGTTTTTGGCGTCATCCAAGAATCCTGTGTCTTACGCAGTTTGGAAATATGGGCACCGCCTATGCTGGCCCACAGTGGCTGCGCTCCTGGTATATAGTTCAGATGCTCTGGGGCCTGAAGGAAGGCCAGCGGCAGCGCCCCCTACTGGGCGCAAGGAGCCCTGATGAACTCAGGCTTTCTGCCGCTGTTGAAGACCGTTCTCAGTGCCCCCCCCTTCCTCTTCCAGAACTATGCCCCCTCCTCAACGTCTAGGACTTGACTTAGTCCTGGATCCCCCTGCCCCCGACTGGTGTCCTCTCTGAACGTCCCCTTGGCACTTAACTCTCTCCCAGGCTCACAAGTAGCCTGGATAACACCGCTGTCTTCCAGCAAGAAGGTGGGAGTTAACTTTCCAATCCTTTGAATCTCCTTTAAGGGAGGACAGCACCTGAAAAGCATATGCACGAGGGAATCCCATCAACGCGTCTGCGGTTTCTCTCCCACCCCTGCAGGATGTCTCACTGGCTGAGCTCGCCTCTCCTCTGGGCGCCCCGGAACCTGGCTGGGAATCAGCCTGGCGATGCTGCAAACATCTGGATCTAGCGGGAGGTCGGAGAGGGCTTCCTCTCGGGCCTGTCTCTTCCGGTTGGAGAGACTTCGGAACCTGTGGGAGCGGGTTCCTGGTCGCTGCCACCCAAGCACCAGCGTGACAGAGGACTAGAGCCCAGAACGGTCCCGGCTTTCCCCGAACAGCTTCGTCCCAGGTCAGCTTGGGTCCGAGAGCCAGAGGGAGCGGAGTGGGAACAAAGGCGAGCAGAGCCCGCCCTGGACATCGCCCTGCATGGTCTGATGCGCGGTGCGGAGGGAGGGCTCCCCGGAGACGCCGGCGGGGCGGGGTGCACCTCCCACTTGCACCCCGGGCTGCAGTTCCCCAGGCCGCCGGCTGGGGTGGGGGCCGGGGGCGGGGCTCGTCACGTGGAGAGGCTCGGGGGCGGGCGGGGCGGGGGCGCACTCAGCTCTTCGGAGGCGCGAGCCGAGCGGGGAGAGGCGGCCCCGGCCGCAGGAGCAGGCCCGGTGACAGCTGACAGCCCAGACGCCGGGCGCGCCGGCCCGCGGCAGCTCCGGGACCCAGCATGCGCCGCCCGGTCTGGCTGGCGCTGGCGGCGTCGCTCCTGCGCGGTAAAGCTCGGGCTCCCCGCACTCCGCTCCTCCACCGCCGGCTCCCGGCGCCGCCGGCGGCTCAGTGCGCCCCGCCGGGGCCAGCTTGGGGGTCGCTAGGGGCATCGGGGTCTGCCCGGGGAGGGCCAGCCCCGCCCGTCTGGGCTGCACTGGTGGGGTGGCTGGGATCGCGGGCAGGGGGGCGTAAGGCGCACCCCGCCGGCCTTCCCTGAGCAGCCTGGCCGGCTCTTCCCCCCTGAAGTGTCCCTGCAAGGCGAGTTCCAGAGGAAGCTCTACAAGGAACTGGTCAAGAACTACAACCCCTTGGAGAGGCCCGTGGCCAACGACTCGCAGCCGCTCACCGTCTACTTCTCCCTGAGCCTCCTGCAGGTCATGGACGTGGTGAGTCCCCGCGCGGCCGCAGGGCGGCCCTCTCCCCGCCGCGGGCTCCCAGGGGTCTCGGAGGCGGGGCCGCCCGGGAGGCGTGGCTTGGCCGACGCTAGCTGGCCCCGGGCCAGGCCGACCCACGCTTTAACCCTGACCCGCCTGCCCGCTGCCGCGTGCCTGGGTCTCCCTCCTGCCAAGAGGGACCCATGGGGCTGTTGCACCGCCCCAGCCACCTGCGCCTGGTACCTCAGTGCCGCGTCTCCCAGCTCAGAAACTCGGGGCGAAGTCTCCCCAGCCAGGAATCAGCAAGAACAGGGTCCAGCGGTCCTGTGGTAGCCCCACGTACGGAATGAGCGCCGGCATGCAGTGTGACATTTGCTATCATTTAGACATTTCTAGATTTCTCTGCTGCCCGCGGCATGTGGTTTCTTTGCACAGGGCCTGGCTCTGGGCTTTGCAGTTGGTTGATATGTCCAGACAGGGGGCGAGCTGTGCGCGTTTAGGACCCTTCTCTCCAGTTTCGATCATGCACATTTGTCACCTTCCGGCTGAGCGTCGTGCTGGTCGTCTGCTCTGACGATGGGCACCCCAGGCACCCCGGCTGTTCCTTCGGGCAGTGCCCCCCGCCCATGGCTTCCTGCCTTGCAGACTTCCAGGTGCTCACTTCAGTCGCCAAGTCTATGCAGCGGCCGCGTAACTTCGTTGTTTTGCTCGTCTAGACTGCTTTGAATATCCGATTTTCAAATGGCAAAGCCTTTCCACAATATCAATATTTCACCAAACATGTCATTCATTATGAATGGGTTGGAGTGTTTGGTCTGCACAAGGCATTGGACTCCGCGCCGGGGCGTGTGGGGTGCCGGGGGCATGGTGTTCAGGGGTAGGGAGGATGTGGTAGGAACGGGGTGTGATGAGAGCCACAACAGCTCCACGGACGAGGTGCTAAGAGCCACCAGAGGGGTTCAACATAGCGGGGTAAGAAGGCAGGTGCTATTTCATAGTCCTACAAATAAAGAGGATGCAAAGGACCGAGATGGCCCGGGGTTGGATACTGCACTTGTCCCGCCCGCGAGCAAAATCAGATACACACGTAGAAAGAGAGCACGTAGTCCTGCGAGGCAACCGGCGCTGAGTGACCAGCTCCGGACAACACGCGGGAAAGAGACCCTCCGCCCCCCCTCCCCCGCTGCCCTGTTGGTTCTGGCCTATCTGCAAGGTCACCTGCGAGGTCACCGTGGTGCGTTCCCAGCTATGTGGCCTGGAGCCTGTGGCGCCTCCTCCCGGCCACAGTGCGCGGCGCCCTGAGCGCATGCACAGGCTCAGCTTCGGTTCCCACCGCCACCCACGTGCTGCACGAGGTCGCTTCTATGCGGGACGTCTGTCGGTATAGCAGACGATGGACTTTACAGAGAGGACTGGGGAGCCCCGGGAGCTCACCGGGGACTTTGGGGATTCTCCGCACGGGGGAGCCTGTGAGCACCCTGTGCACGGCGCCCTCCACCTCCTTTGGGGGGTCGGGGCTCTGTCCAGGTGCGCGGCCCACCTGCAAGGTCACTGCAGTGTGAGTCCCGGCCTCGGCGCTCGGACAAGGAAAAGACCCAAAGGGCGTCCAGGTTGGAAAGGAAGGAGTAAAACTCTCGTTATTTGCAGATGGCATGGTACTCTGTATAGAAAACCCCGAAGACGCCACCAAAAGAAAGCTATTAGAACTAATAAATGACTTCAGTAAATTTGGAGGACACAGAATCAATAGACGGAAATCTGTTGAGTTTCCCTACAGCAGTAAGGAACGACCAGAAGAAATTAAGAAAACAATCCCACTCACAATTGCATCAAAAAGTATTAAACAGCCCTGGCCAGTTTGGCTGAACGGTTAGAGCCACCTGTGGACCAAAGAGCGCCGGTTCTTTCCCATCAAGGGCATGTACCTGGGTTAGGGTGGGGCCCCAGCCCTGGTCAGGGTCCTGCGAGAGGCAACCAATCCATCTGTCTCTCTCACGTGGTTGAGTCTCTCTCTCTCCTTTCCTCCCTCCCTCCCTCCCACTCTGCATCCTCAGGTGAGGATTTTTTTTTTAAAGTATAAAACACCTAGAAATAAGTTTAACCAAAGAGGTGAAAAACCTGTACTGTGAAAACTACAAGACACCAAAGAAAGAAACTGAACAAGATACAAACAAATGAAAGGATATACCCTGCTCATGGGTTGGCAAGACTGATGTTGTTCAATTGTCCTAAAGTAACATACAGATCCACGGCTGCCTCTCTTGGCCCGGGTCCTTGTGCTGAACGGATGGAATGTGAGGGTGCGGTGGCCACCCAGACAAGAAGCAGGAGCAGCAATCAAGTTGAACAGCCGTTACCAGGGCTGGGGCAGTTTGGTCTGCAGACAAGACCACTCACTGGGCACCCCAGCCTTTTTAAAAGACCCTTAAGACATCAGGTTATATGAAGGACGTGGGGTTGTTTGTTTTTTTTTATTTATTTATTTTTGTTAGAGTTGTTTCTCCCCCCCCATTTGACACCCTCCTCCCAATCCCCCCTTGCCCCGTCCCCAGCATTGTTGTCCATGTGCATGGTTACACGTACATGCACATAAGTTCTGTGGTGTATCTCTCCCCTCCTCACCCCCACAACTCTTCTGAGGTTTGTCAGTCTGTACCCTACTTCTATGTCTTTGGGCCTATTTTGTTCATCAGTTTGTTTTGTTCGTTATATTCCACAATATAATGGGTAACACCATTTCCTGTTTGGAGAGGTGTCTCTTTAGGTCCTCTGCCCATTTTAAAATTGGGTTCTTTGTCTTCCTTTTGTTGAGTTGTATGAGTACTGTATATATTTTGGAAATTAACCTCTTATCTGATGTATCATTGGCAATTATGCTCTTTCATATAGTGGGTTCTCTTTCTATATTGGTGGTTGTTTCTTTTGCTGTGCAGAAGCTTTTTAGTTTGATGTAGTCCCAAGTGTTCATTTTTTCCTTTGTCTCTCTTGCCTTAGGCATTGTGTCAGTGAAAATTCTGCAGCGTGTGATGTCTGAAATTTTGTTGCCTACATTTTAGGAATCTCATGAGCAGTTTAGGCACAGGCTAGGTGACATGATGTGAAAATTAAAAACAAACAAACATTTGCAAACAAATGCAATTTTTTGGTCCAGTTAGGGGATTTAAAAGGACAAGTCAAAAGCACTGTGTGTCATCAACATTCTGGTATGAGAGAATCCACGTGAAAACACTCAGCAGCGGCCTGCGGCCATGAGAGGGTGGGAGGGAGAGAGCCTTGGTCTCATCTAGCCATGAACCTGTTGAACTTCCCAGGCACCCCTTGAGCACATTACCTCTCTAAGCCCCATGTCCTCATGTGTGAAATGAGAATAATAATACCCACTTCCCAGGGCTTTGAGAGGATTAAATAAGAGAGAGTGTCTGCCATGCTCTGGGGATTCACTGAAGGTTTGCTGGATCTTAATTGTGTAGCAACTCGACTCAAAGGCCTAGAAGTCAATACCTAGAAAGGTGTGATTGCTGTCCCTACGCTGCAAACTGGTTAGAGGCAGGGCCGCAAGGAAAACCCACATCTGACTCCTCAGTCCTTTTGCAGAACAGAGTCAGCTTCATTTACTTAAACTGGCTGAACTGTAGCTGATGGAATGTGACTGTCCAGAGATCCTGGGTGAAAAGGCCGTCTCTATATCAGAGATAATGAAATATGCAAACATTTGTACTCCAGTCGGACTTGGCTTGGCCTGGTTTTGAAACGGAGCCAGGGCTTTCTAGCTGAAATCTCAGCACCATGGACAGCGACACAGGGCTCTCATAAGAGTTTTGTATGACAGTCTCGACTGGTACAAGATTCTCTCCACTCATTCAATCCCAGGTGTTTGCCCATTCTGATGGGCTGTTTTAGAGACTGCCCCCCCAATCTTACTGTTCCCCCCCCTTTTTTTAGCCAGCAGAGATTTCCCAGCTGGAGTGATAGGAAGATGGCATATGATGGTATACATTTTATTTTTGTGAAACAGCCTTTCTCTTTCATTAGTTTATTTCACACATATTTACTGAGCCTGGCTTGTAAACTGTGCTGGATTCTGGGAATTCATAAGTGAATAAGGGCTAGTTTCTACTTTTAAAACTCACATTCTGGCTAGAGAGACTGACATGTAAATCTAAGATTCTCGCATGTGTGATTTAAAATAAATGCCTATACAGAGTGACATAAATACCTACAAGTACAGTAGGAGAAAACGTTTACACCCACTGAGGGTGTGGAGCATGAGAGGTCGGGGGGTCTCTGCAGAATTTGGATTTTGCCTGGAGCCCCAGTCCACGTACTTCTGGGGGCACCAGGAGGCAGTGTGCCAGGGGGTTGTGAAGCTACGGAATCAGCTTGGCATAGCATATTTTCCTAGAAATGGAAACAATCCAAACCATGACGTTTGTATTAAATCCAACAAGTATAAATTATAGATGAGAATAAAAAAAAAAGATGGGCATACATTTTAAAGACAAAACATGCATCTTCAAAGGAGTACTTTACCTACCGTGATCTGTTTGAGTTACTGAACCGGCCTCTTGGTGAAAGACTAGGCAGAGAGGATGCTGAGGGTGGGGTGGGGGTCACAGATTAGAGAGGAAAGAAAGTGCAAGCAGGGGATGAGGAGGTCAAAATGAGAATGGTCACGGTGGGAATGTGGAGAAAAGGACAGATTTTAGAGACATTTGGAATTTATTACCTGTGATATATAACTGTGTATATAAACTTCACACTGGTACATTAACAAGTTTGTTAAGTGACAGTACCTAAATTATTCCTAAATGCACACTCTGACTTATGATGATTATTAATTTACTTCGTGGGCTGGGGATGAGATAATACATGAGAAATCATTTTGAAGTGATGCAAATGTGAGGTTCTAAACCGCCCATGGCTTCCACCATATTTCTTTTTTATTCCTGCCATTTAGTCATTCACTGGTGCACACACATCCACAGGCCACGGTGAGTGTGGATTTGCATAAC